TGTTGGGTGATGGATGTTTATTTCAATTATCCGCTGCAGCTCTCGGAGGAGTCAGCTCACTGGGAAATGAGTTCAGGCCTAGTAGAACCTTGAATAAAGGGAATTCTGCTCGGGGTAGGAGGTGGCCAGTCAGGAGGTGTTCAAATCATGACTTCTACAGTTTGTGTTTTCCTCCCAGACGCGGAGGAATGAAAGCTCAGAATATTAAATGTGAAGCTTGCTAGTGCAAAGCTTCACACAGAAAGAGGTTGGGTGGGTGGAAGCTCATTTGAACACGATTGCAGGAATTTCTAGAATTCTACCGAGCCGAAAGACTGGGTTGTGTGTGTGTATATTAAAGGGAGAATAAATCACATATTTTCACTGAAACTCCAAGATTGCTGGGGTTGACTTTTCTGTAAGGTCATAGAAGGCTTACTGTGCTATCTTCTCACCTATTTGTGTATAGGAGTCCCCCCTACACATGCCCCCCCATGACACTTTAGGGGGCTCTCACGATGACCTCCATCCTCAGTTCCTAGTTAGCTCTCTGCTGCAAGTCCTGCTTCTAACACACTCACTGAGTATGTTTTACTCTTTTATTATCTCAGCCTGGAAGAAGGGCTCAGCCAAAACTCACTCCCTGGCTTTCTGACTGAGGTCACCCTTTCTCCAGAACCCCCTTTTGCTGCTTCCAGGCATTATTGTGGTGAGGAAATGTCACAACTTGGACCCCATGCAGGAGCTCCCCAATGGCTCATTCTATAGGCCACCTCCCCCACAACTTCCTAAGCCTGGATCCTTTCTGTAACAGGCGCTCGCTTCCCCCAACTATTCTTTAATTTCTTCCTTGGCCTCTGGATTTTGAAATGATTATTCTGTTGGTTTCAAGTTCAAGCTGTCAGGCTGGACAGGATCCTGAAGTCAGTCAAGTTCAGTCCCCTCATTGTACATAAAAGGAAACTGCGGCATGGAGCCTATTCCTATAGCTTTCCATCCCCAATTTCAGGACACCTTTCCTTGAGTGTCTTCTGTTGGGGTATTTGGAGAGACAGGTGACATTTTTCTCCCTGTGTTGTCTTGGAGTAAAGTCCATTCTTCACTGAGGTAGAAAGATAAGCTAGATGACTCCCATAATTATATTATCAGGAGGCACTTGTGCTATAAAACATTCCCCGGCTACTTCAAATTCCTAGACAGCTTACATAAGAAATAATTATGTATTTTTTCTCTTAAGCATAACTAAAACTGAATCCAAAATTGGAAAAGCTCAGAATCTTTATTAAATGTGAAGCTTGCTAGTGCAAAATGGGACATTCACAGTAATGTGGCACACTATGTGAAAATGGGTACAAGGTTGGTAAGTTGGCATTAGAGAGAGATTGGCTTAAAAAGAGAAAAGTTGGTAAGTCAAGGAAGGGTATACATTCTTGTGGTGTGTTCTGGGCTTGATAATTCTGATTTCAGAAAAAGGGAGGGAGTGTATCTTTATTTTGGGAATCCTGCCACTTTCTAACCTACCAGCTAGAAATTTTCATGTCTCTGCATCAGGGGCGTGCTGAGGCCTGCCCCAAGTTCACATAGGACTCTGTGGGCTCCTTTGGGAGCTGTGAGTCACCACTTATATAGTACAGTGGGAATGTAATTGAATGTCCTATCACACAAAGACTAGAATAGTCATAAGACTTCTCAAAGGCCAGCTCTGTAAGTTTTATCAGGGAAGCAGAATCTGTGGTCTCCAATAGGAAAGTCTGGGCATGGCCTTAGAGATTTTCTGTAACCTGGGGGCATTTGGCCAGTTCCAAAAGCACCCGTGTTTGGACTCTCTGCCAATAGGGAAGAGGCTCTGGGCACGGCAGTGGTTCCCGACAGGAGCACCGGGAGGCCTCTTATCTTTTTGGTTTTCACAGTGACCGTAAGCCAGTGCTGGCTTTTTGTGATGGGGGACCAGGTACGGCAACCACGCTGCAATGTACTGGACATTCTGTGTATGCCGCAGGAAGTCCTGGTTAACACACTCATACCTCAGCCAGGGAGACCAGAGGCGGTGGATAACCCGGGAATTATTTTACAACAACTTGTCTTGTGCTAACCAACCAGATGAGCCAGTGTTAGCCGGAATGCAGGCAGTAAGAATTCCCTCTGCTTTTTAAGAGCTTGTAAAAACAATTTTTTCTTAATAATTCCAAGAAGAGTGTTTTGCGGGGAAAGGCCACAACTGAATAAAGACCTTATTTTACACTAATGTCTACTTGTAGAAGTCACAAGTCACTAATGAACTGGATATAGGTGCTTTGAGAAGTAAGGATAAAAGCTTCCCTGTTTAGTGCTGATGGTGGAAGTGAAGCTGCAGAAGTGCCAGAGTCAAAAGCTTTGTTTTTCTGAAACCATCTATTGCAAAGAATTTGCAAAATGAAATATTTATTTTACCCCCTTTAAAGTATGAATATCATCTTTTCGATGGGAATTCCAGATAATGATCTCTTTCTAAAATTGAAAGTCATATCCCCCCTCCCCATGGAAACTGTATACTGTCTTAAGTCATAATTCATATGCACAAAACATGGCACGTGCTTTAATGCAGGAGCAAGGTGTGTGTTTCTTCGGTGCACAGCCATTGAAGTGTTTGTCACTCCTCTGCCCAGGCTCAGGAAGTGGGAGTGGAGTGGGCCTCAATTAGCGTCCATCTCTGTTCAAAGCAGGAATGAAAGTGATGCTGTTGGACTTGAGTGGATCACGAAAGAAGCAATGTGCTTGGGTCCCAGAGGACCTTTTCATGACTGAGGCTTTTTATTGTTTATTTGCGTCTCATTGATCTCTCCTCTCCTTGGGAAAGAAGATGAGCGTGAGCGGGGAAGGCAGTGTTGCCTCCTGATTTATTTGGTCGAAAAGAGCCTGTGAACTCCTGCCTCTCCACTAGCCAACACCCTCCACCCCATCCCTTTCCCCCACCCCCTGCACCTGCCTCCAGGCCGGCACAGAAGCTGCTTGAGGGCAGGGATTGTTTTTCACTGAGTCCCCAGCCCTTGGAATAGGGCCTGACACAAGGCAGGCCTTCAGTAAATATTTGCTAAGCGAATTTATGCAGTTAGATGGAACCCTAAGTATATTTCTATTTGCTTAAAATATTCCCCCCTTTTCCCTAGGAAAAATAAGTGCCTTTTTTACCCCTGTAAGTCAAATTTTCATAACATTTTACCTCTCAAGGTATGGGGAAAGTTTTGGGAAGATTTTTTTTTAATCACACTGACAGCTAGCTACTCTATATTGACTGTTTAAACAGAAAACCTTGTTCTGCTGTAGGCTGATTCCTAAAGTAAGTAACTGTGACCTTTGCTTTTCATACCCTGGATTTTTATTGCCATCTCAGCATTCTGTCATTGTTTTTGATCCCATCTAAGTTAGACTAGTCAAAGGGAGAGGAATGATAAAAGTGAAATCAGAAAATTATTTTGGCAGTTAAGGGAGGAACAGCAAATACCCAGAGTGAAAACCAAGATAATAGGACCAAAAGACATCTTATTTCTTTATAAACGTCTCTTTGCACAAAATGATCTAACGCAATCACGTAAACAACATCAGCTATAGAATCCGTCAGCCAGTTTTGGGATAAAGTGAGTATTAAAAGAGATTACGTTTATCTAAGCATCGACAACTGTGGGTCTAGTGAGTCTCTTACCGGAGCATCGGCGGGCCGCCCTGCCCTTCCTTTGGGCTGATGTAGCATGTTAATGTCCTCTGCTGACCTTTTTGTTGTTTCCTAGTTTGACATCCACAACAAGATCGAGTTCGGATGCTCTGCAGGGGCGCTATGCAGCTCCTGAACTGGAAGTAAGTTCATTTCCTCTTCTTGATCTGCTTTATCTTAGAAGACCCATTTCCCAGGAAGCCTTTTTATGTTTATTTACATCTTTATTGATCTGCATTCCATGATCCCAAGAATACAATTTTTGTATAAAAAAAATATCCTGTATATACTATGGAATTAAAATCTTTGATTTTTCTCCAACAAAATTGGCCTCCTGTGTGGCATCCTGCCGCCCACCTCCCACCAGGCAAGCTGTCCGTTGTTCTTTTCTTCTGTCTTAATGGAATTTCTGTGGTTTTTTTTTAAACTTCTGATCCGTTCCTCTGTGTTATACCTGTCTGTGCCCTCCATGCATGGCACAACCGCGAGGCCATGTAATAGCTGTTCTGAAGGAGGAGAGGACGGTGGGGAAGGGAAGGAACCAGCATCCGCTGTGCCCACGTGGCTGAGCATCGTCTATACATTAGCTTATTTAAATGCGTCAGTTCCATCAGGTTGTCATTTCATTGGGTAAAGAATTGTGAACAATAGGTGTCCAAAGAATCGTGGTCGGCAGATGCCAGTTGTTCGGCTGAGTGTCTTATTTTATTGTGCAAAAGTCTTTTTCTGGGGCCCTCGATGGAACGCCCACCAAGGTCTAAAAGGATGGAGGCAGCCAGAAGGCTCAGCCCTGACCCCAAGAATGGGAAGAATGGGAAGTTCAGGGATGGCCAAGACTTGTGGCTCTTGCTATTTCCAGGCACTGTTCTAGGCGCTACTTCTGTCATTTCATTTACTCCTCATAAAAACCCAGTGAGGGCTTTCTCTCCATTTTGCCAAGTCACTTAAACTTTTGATTTGCCAGCATGCCTGTTCCTCACCACTGCTACCCAAGAGCTCAGCTGCTGTCTCCTGGCCTGGCTGGGCTGGTGACCCGCCTGGCATCCTACCCTGGCCGCATCCTGACAGCTTTCCCTGAATTTAAGAGCCCTGGTATATCTGATGGGCACTTTCTTCTGCAGCTCTGTCTTTGGGGATGATCTTCCCTGCACCTGACCTGGAGAGAGGGAACCGTTATGAAGGGTTGTCAGTCTGCCAGCATCATTCACCAGCTCTTTCTGTCACTTAAAAAAAGGGGAAACTGCTGAGTCTGAATAAGAGAATGGTCTCTAGAAGGCAGGCATTTGTTCTCAACACTGACTGGGTGACCACCTGCTGGGGTGGTACCGTCTGGTTTCAATATCCCTATTGTGCACAGAGTTAAAGTGCAAAGAACAGCAAGTCTCTAAGTAAGATTTAAGAGAGGATGTTTTTTCTTCCAAGGAAAAAGCCCCAGTGTTTCCTTCGGAAGTGGAGAGCATGCAGGACGGAAGTCGGTTTGCTCTCTTTGAATCACGTTTCACAGGATGCACTTTTGAAAGAGGGTTAGTTTCTCTTGGTAACTTAAGCTTCAAAAGAACTAGGACCCCAGCGCACCTTGTCTTGGGCCCCCTGAATGAATTAGTGTGTCTTCGACTGTGTCACTTGATCCAAGATTTTGTCAAGGCCAATCCCTCTGTTACAAGTTCCCTTGATGTAGGGTGGGAAGCAAGGACGTAGCCTTGAGGTGGATAAGTGGGATGAAAGCCTAGGCTCCCATGTCCTTGTCCTAGGTTCTCTGTTCTTTGTAGTGAAAATATCAGCCAGAGTGCTGAGGACCCAGCACTTCCCAGACCATCTTGGTAGATGTAGTGTTTCTTATTTGTTTACTAGAGTCCTGTAATCCTGTAGTTATTTTTCACAACCTGGTATTTTAAAAATTAAGATTATTGTTTTGAGTAGGTTAAAAACATGGTATGAAATTTGAATGGTACCAGGTGCTCTTCAAAGGAAAGCACCCCACCCATTCCTGTCCCCAGCACCCCTGTGCCATAGACGCAGCCAGATGAGCAGCCTGGTTTTTAAGGAAACGTGGAAGGCCTCCTGCTTCCAGATCCCTTAGCATTACCATTGCTGGTTCTGTCGGCTCCACCACCTCCTACATATCACATGCTATCTGTTGCCTCTTGTGAACCATGGACCTTGGGGTTCCCATCCTGCATTCGTGTCCCAGCTCCTATCACTAACGTAGTTGCTTGACTTCGGGCCAGTTGTTTAATCGGCCTGACCTCAGTTTCCTCAACTATAAATAGGTTAATAATCCCAGCCTCCGAGGTTGGAGAGGGTGATGAGTAGCGAGTAGAGCAAAGCACCAGGAGTGAGCTTTTCATAAGCAGCTGCAAAGGCAGTTTGATGTTAAGCATATTTATTAGGGATCAACACAAGTGGAAGGGAAGAAGGGGAAGGGGCAGAAGTGGGCAGAGGGTGATGTTGAAGGGCTCCACAACCGGGCAACTCTGTGCTGACCGAGTGCTCCGGGGCAGATATAACCCAGCAGGGCTGTCCTCCAGGAGACAGTGGCTGCTCCCTTACACCCCTGCTGTGAGCAGTCTTTCCTGTGGGTTGCCCAGGAAGGGCTTGCCCTCTGGCAGGATGGTGCTGCTGCTGGGCAAAACCTGGGGGCTGCAGTCTGGAGACTGTCTGCTCGCAGCAGTCGGAGTGACAGCTCACCTCCATGTCCATTGTGTTTCCTATCACCAGCACCCAGAGCATCTGGGAAGAACAGATGCTTAGTTAAAACCCTCTGGAGGGATAAAGTGTGCAGTTCAGGGCCTGGGATGTAATTCAGTGGGGGAGGGCTTGGCACGCAGTGGCCTTTAGCGCTTGACGGATGTGGAGAGCAGAAAGCAAGCCACCTGACTGTTGGTTTTGCTCTCCCAGGTAGCTCGGTGTTGCTTTTGCTTCGGTCCCTATGGAGAAGGTAAGTAGAGAACTTTCCGTCTCTGCCTCTGTGTGGTCCTGCAGACCTGGCTCTAATCTGTAGGCATTTGGGATTCAGGTACAAATAACTGAATAGTAAGCGGGACTTTTATTCCAAAGCCAGTTTACTGTGTACATACTTTTCACATTCTCCCAAAGGGTTGCTGGGTTATGTTTGTTTGTGTTGGTGTTATGGCAGGCAAGAAATCAGTCTAATATTTTAGTTCATATTTAAGTTATACAGTGAGATTTAGAGACGCAAAATACATTTTTTAAAGGAATGAAAATTTGGAAAATACCAAGAGGTCCTGACACCTTGATTTGGACCATTTATTTCCCTCAATTTAACTTTTCTTCTTGGAATAGAGATTCCCAGGGGCTTGGGAACTCCTGGTCTACTCTCTCCCTTTCTTCTGAACTTATAATAAGTTTTGTGTTTTTAATGGCTTTCTTTTTTTCTGCACTATTAGAAAAGTGGGATGTGTCCAGGCCAGGTAGCTCAGTTGGTTAGAGCATCCTCCCAGTATGCAAAGGTTGTGGATTCAATCCCCGGTCAGGGCACATACAAGAATCAACCAATGAGTGCATCAATAAGTGGAACAACAAATCCATGTTTCTCTCAAGTAAATAAAAATAAACAAACTCAACTTGATACCTTAATAAAATTTTTAATTAATCCATTAAGTAGGTGGGATGTTAGGTGACTCACCCTGTTCAGGAAGGTTCTGGGGTGGGGTGGAGGACTTTGTGCCTCTGGCATAGATGAAAGTGCCTGGGTGACGTCTTTTCTCGGGCCCCCCGAGTTGAGGCGAGTGTGTCCTTGCGTGAGTGGCAGGGTGCTGGGCCCACTCGCTGAGCTGATGTGGCTTTGTGGTTCGCAGACCCTGAGGAGCAGCAGAACATGAAAGAGGGCCCGGGCGTCATTTACGACGAGAAGCGGAGCACCGTCTACAGCTATTCCTACTTCCATGGAGTGTTCTTTCTGGCTTCCCTCTACGTGATGATGACAGTCACCAACTGGTTCAAGTGAGTGGCCTGTTTCGTGGGTGTTCTAGAAGGGGCAGTCCTTGTAAGAGCAACCTAAGTCCTGTTCTTTAGAGTGCTCAGACACAGATCAGGTCTCCCCGAGTCAGCTAAGCCTTTTCCCAAGTCACGCTGTGCTCCCTTGACAGGCAGGTCCTGTTCCTAAGAGTCTCTCGCACGCTTTTAACCCCGGGAGGGCCTGCCAGGTGCACTGCAGGCGCCTTCACAAAAGGCAGGTTAACTGCTTGTGGGCAGTCTTGAAGAACATAGGAACAGTAATGGAGGAAGCACCTGGAATTCTTAAGTAACCATCTGCGTTTTAAGAATTTTACTAAATTTATTGGGGTGACACTGGGTAATAAGATTATAGAGATTTCAAGTATACAGTTCTATGATAATCATCTGTATACGCTGTGTTTTCATTACCCCATCTGCTTTTACAAAAGGAAATCTCTTTTCTACTTTGTATTTTGTCTTTTTTTTCTTTATAGTTTCATTACAAAAGTTTAAAACATCTTAAAAAAACAAGCAATATGGAAGTATAAAAAGTAATAGTGACCCCCCCATAACCACTGCTAACAATATGGCGTGTATCCTTCCATTCCTTTCTGGGCGTTTACAGGCCTTTGTGATTATGATTACACATTTTGCCCCCCTTGAGGGTTTTTTGTGTGTGTTTTTTAACTTGATAGTATATGATACACCCGACTTTCCCTGAAACGACATAGAGACTCTTCTTGAATCATACAGATTTCTTTTCGGATTACTCTCTGACTGATCCAAAGTTCCTGTTGGACCACGATTTGTTGTAAATTAAGATGTACGTAGGATGACATTTAGGCTCATGGTGCGTTCTCTTATTCATTCACTCAACACGCATTTGAGTGGCCCCTACGCCCACACTGTTCTAGCGGCAGGGCTTACATTCGTGGGGAGACCACGGTCCTGATCAAATGCAGCGTGTCGGGTAGTGGTGAGTGCTGGGGAGGGGAGCGCC